CCAGCCAAACACACTAAAGATACCAACAAACTTACACCAGAAATAACCGAACTGTGTTCTGTTTTCATGATGAACGAAGAGACAGTCCTGTGGCTTTGATTAAATTAGTAGTAATTCAGGTCGAGTCTTGTTGTAATGTAAACCAATCTCCAAGCAGGATGTATATTCTTTGGATACCAGGATTTGACCTCCAGAAATATAAGCACCAGAAATAAAGAATACGGTCAGATTTCGTTGCGAATAACGATTACATTGTTACTAACAAATAATAATTCTTACTTAAAAAGAAGAACATGTTTAGCAGTTATGTACTCTAAAGTTCATGCATTTGATTTGATACTCCAGGACAATTGAAAGGMTTTGGCACGAGTCTCCCACAATGCATCTCTTAGATAAATTGATTCACTAGTTAATTCTCAATTGAATCGGAAGTTTTTTGCAAAGTGTACTATGTTTTGTGTCTTAATGAACCTATGAAGCTTTTACGTCATCTTCTTGATTTGCAATGGATTGTGGGATCAGTATCTGGAGAAAACATCCGCCATGTACTGTCCCAAACATATCCTACAATGCATTGCGTATACTGTACATGACGTAAAAGCTGCATAGGTCTATTGATATAATGTACTCCAAAGATAATTTGAAGATCACAGGATTATAAAATATCTAGTGGGATTGGGAATCCKGTGTACCAGTCATGTCAAAGAAATACGTAAGATCATGGATAAAGACAATGTTTTTTGATGTGGCAAGCATCTAAAAAAATACTCAAGTTGACAAGAATTCTTTAGCAGAAATTCAGTTTTATTACAAATACTTGAGTTTATGACATAATGTCTTGTAGTAGATTTTTGATACAAATTCGGAAATCGAATCAGTTTGGCATCTGCTTAATTAATTTCAGATGCTCTGACCCCTTAATTGATTTAAGCCGTGACATGCATCGCATGCAGGTATTGCAATTTTATACATCGTATTTCATTAATTAGTWGTAAATWGCCCTCTTTCTATATGACGTCATCAAAAMTTCAAGCGATTCAATCCACCATAGGCCTTTTCTGAGATAGCAGTTTGCATTGTATTGTGGTCTAGATTCGTTACAAACATCTTTTGTTCATGCAGCTAAATATGGCGTTGTTTGTACTGAAGCTAGACCACAATGCATCATGATTTTGTATTTCAGAAAAGGTCTATGCAAACAATATCTGTTGCATCATAGTGAGATAGGAGCAATAGACTTTTGAAGTTTTTCTACGTCACGTACGCTTGATTTGCAGTGCATTGTGGGATCACTTTCTGGACAAAACAAAAGAAATCCATCATGTCTCCTGTCCCAAACATATCCTACAATGCATTGCGTCTCCGGTATATGATTAGTGACGCTCTTTAAACGACTAAAGCTATCGCCACCAAAAGGACTGGCACTAGTTTTCAGTGTTCTGTCATACTTATGAGCCAAAAGTTACAAGTTTTTGATCAGAGTCCATTCTTTGCCGCAGAGAAGTCAGCGGATTTAGTTTATCAGACGTAGCTTTAGCACGGCTAGTTTCACATTTAATTTTGTGCCCAATTTTCAGAATTTTATAAATTTCAAACTACTGAGATATACTCTCGTTCCCCTTTCATAAAAATACTCTCCTCCCAATTGAAACCGTAATAATCGAAAGTTATACCAATTAAATCTGCTACAAGTTCTTGTTAYTTCATTGCKTTCTCTGCCTGTTATCTGTGCTTTAAGATGACTGTTTTCTGACTTGTAAAAAGGTTCAAATTCCATTTGTKCTGATTATAGGTCGAGATTTCTATGCAAGTATTATACTTGTGTTTCATTTTGTGGACGTTTTCTAGAGTTGGCAGCGAATACTTTTGCTCAGAAACTGGGCTTCCTTCGGTAGCACCTTAGGAAACCTGGACCGAGGRAAAAATATAACACAGGTAACCCAAACACAGATTCCTTCGTCTTTCTCTACTGAAATATTCATGCAAACTTCATGTACTAATTAATGACTGTCTCTTTCTTAACTATAGTAATTGGTGGGTGGATCCCGCCATGGCTGATCCATTTGATTTTAAGTTGCTTGGTTCGGCTTTTGTCCGTCTCMCCGTCGTTCCCGTCATCCTCGATTTCCTCTTCGACAACGACATACTCGCCATGTTGTTGGGAGCCGTTTGGAAATATGTAGGTTCCAGGACCCAGCATTTTGTCATCGTGAAAATTTCCTACATAGCTTTGCTTACCAAATGTTAGTTTACCTCGACCTAGTGGAAGAAACAGAGCATGCGCAATGAGTGTTTACTGGATTTAATATCCCACATGGCAGCTTTTCATAAAGTTGTACTGTATATAAACCACTTCAAATCGCATCGTTTTTAGAGTGAAGTTGACAAAATAAGGATTATGTTACAATGATGCACCTATGAAAGCACTTCACTGCCACTTTTAAATTGATATGGTGTAATTGAATTAGTGAAAAGATTTATTGATTGAATTTTCATACCCRATTTTAATCTAAATCTCATGTTTTTTTCAATGATTGATTAAGTTGTCAAGTGAACTTAAGGGCCTTGTTCCAAATATCATGAGCCTGAATACGTTTGAAACAGCGTCTTTAATCGAATTATATCTTATCGAATGTATAAATGCAACGATGAGTGGACGAATAATAAAGGGAGCATCCAGGAATTGTACAGAAATGTVCTGAAAATTACATACAACTTTTACAACAATAAAGTCTGGGAAAACATAACTCATAAAATTGCAATTTCTCTCGGTACACTAGAATTGGCAAAGTTAACTTTTTTTCTTCATTTACTCGGGTTTGTGCCAAATTAACCAACAAGACTATGGCTTATTGTTTTTGTGCTTATTCTTATCCATGAAGAAAGGTTTACATTCGCTTTTTTGAAACTTTGAAACAAAATTTTTCCATTGAATAGCATTGTTCATTTAGTTTTTTGCAAAATACTCAATGCATCAGTTCAATAACGTAAAGTGGAAAGTTTGATTATTATCAATGTCAAAAATTGTGGCTTTAGTTGTATATGAGCTATATCTAAACAAACCGAAGACAAAATGTGTGCAAAAATGMATACAAAATATAGATAGTTTCAATTAAATGATCATTTTTATATCAAAATAATTCGTAAAACTGGAAAAGAAAAACTGGAAAGAAATYATGGGAAAATATTCATTTTATGAATTCATTCTAATGAAGATCTTGAATTGTAAATAATTTTACTTAATATGAATAAAAAATATGAAAATATTTTCCTTCGGCTAAAAAATGTAACAATAAGGGGCAAAATTAAATTTTTGTACGAAAAAAAAATTAAATTGTTCAGGGAAAAAAAATGTAAAATGAAAAGATGAGGTTTTAGGATTCATCAATATCGATTTAGACTTAATCAGATTGTTGTCAATATTTATAATACCATTACGTATTACACATGTAAAGCTATGGGTAAGAGTATAGAGTGGTTCACTGGTCAAAATAAACAAACACCTCAAGTATCGCTAACCTGATCGCTTTCCCTCAATCCATTGACCCTCGTATACCATCCCACTAGCCGCGTACGTATACGTTCCGTGGCCATTCCGTTTATCTTTCGCCCATTCGCCCCTATACGAGTCAGCATTAGTATAATAATAGGTCCCAAARCCTTCCCTSAGGTCATCCTTCCAGCTCCCTTCGTATTTTGCACCGTCCGGGTATAAAAAAGTCCCTTGTCCATTCTTTTTGTTCTTCTCATAGTACCCAATATAGCAAGCACTTCGYGACTGCCCTTTCAGCTTCTTAAAAACATATTTTCCAAATCCATGCCGGTAGCCATGTCGATATTCCCCTTCATAAACGTCGGCRTTTGGTAAACGCGCTTTGCCTTTGCCATGGCGCTCACCTTGGTCGTTGCGTTCACCTTCGTATAAGTATGGTAAATCATCATTATCGGAATGAGCTTCTTCATCGGACTCGTGGACTGTATCCATGGCAGTGAAATCAGTAGGGAATTTTCACCAGATGAAATTATGAATAATTTTTAAACGTAGTCTAAATCACCTCTTGACAAATTGGGTATGAATGTATCGAGCTTTGAAGTTGTATTCAATACCCCTTTCGATAGAAATCGAGAGATTATGCCTCGCTTTTGATCGCTTGTTTGAAGCGATTAATTCGAGTGGCCGCGATTGTATTCAGTCGCCGAAAACATCTCTGGTTGTTTTAAGTTTGTTAATATTTAAAGGTTTYCATAAAGGCTTTTGTGTGAGTCCAACTCGATGGTGATCCCGAGGTGTTGTCGTGAACGACTCATTGTGTTCAACGTTAGTATGATTGCCACAAACCTAGCCAGTCAGCGAAAGTATTTTGTCTTATTTAATATTTTATAACTAAACTTACGATAATGTATATCACACTCAGTACTTGTACTAAACCTGTTCGAATAGGTATATACCCCAAGGCTGAGAATCTCGTAATCACAATTACACACTTTCTTTCCGTGTTTCGCTACGGGATTTCTTTTATCATTTGAATTAAAAGTTTGCTTCGTTTGTGGCTGAAACGAGGTTTTATTTCTGATAGCATGGTATTAACTAATTAATGAAGCGAAGAATCCTGCATAATTTGTCTAGAAATACAGATACTTCGCTTAAGTATCGAAATATTTTATCATAAATTGGCTCACAGGTGAATTGGACCTGCTATAGTGAAGATATTCCCGCAGTGCTGGGTGGATTTCTCTTTATAGTTAGTCCCAGGGGGCTGGKCTCTTATTCGYTTGTATAGTCACTAAATTCATTCAAGATCGTCAATATCACATGAATTTGAATTTGCYAACATAATTTATGAGCAAAATCAATGGATTTACGATATCAGTGTTAAATAATTAATTYAGTTTTGSCCTCAAAACCCTTATGGGTCTATTGGTGYTGAGATGAGCTAGCTCTGAAAGCCKTCACTTAGCTGAAACGTAACGAGCGCCCAAGGCTTGTACGGATTGGCTGCTTTTCTAATATAATGTCCGATCATTTGGACTATTTTTGAGTTTAGATTATAAATATTTTTCTCTCAAAGTACTTGTTTACTTTTGGCTCTTTCTAAAAMCCCAAAATRCTTAAAGAATTAACCAGAAAGCTTAGACCACAATTCAGCTAAAATCCAACTAAGCACCATGAATTTATTTAAACCAAGTACGGACGAAAACAAAGTTTTATTATTTATGAAKCAAAAGCGTAATTCGCTGAAACTAAAAAAAGGTGTTAAAAGAACTAGACCTGAGTAATTTTTTGTCATTAAAGTTTAGTTCATGGACAGCAAAAAATACGTCAGAAATAATAAATATCTATTGCATGTTGAGTAAGGATTCATAAACAAGAAAATATTATATATCATTTTTCATTTCACAGAAAAAATTCTTAGGAATACATACATTTTGTTATAATTTCTGTCACCTTTAGTACAGAGTTTAATACACTCAGTATACCATTTTATACATTTTTGGAAAGCATATAAATATCTCAGCCGGAAAACATTATAGTCAGTTGAAAGGCGCCATTTTGACCATTGACGGCCTTGACATACTCAAGATAAGAGATTTCTTCTTACTCTTGGTTATTTAATTATTAGACATAAATGGCTCCTCACAGYAGTAATTAAAAATCTAGTAGGTTATCGACGATGTTTGTTGTTGTAATTTAGTTGAATGACGTAAAAAGCATTGAACCMTCCTCGAAAAAACAGGGGCTTTAAGTCTAGGGTCAGATTCAKTCCCATCTCTCCCCATTCCTCATCGTACTAACCGTCAACAGCCATTGAGTTTCTGAGGATGACATWGCGCAAAATTACCTAAATCTTAATTCTCATTGCCGTAACGCAAAATGACGTCAAAGCATGTTTAGAATCTGGGGTAAATGCTCAACAACATGGGTGGAAATTTGGACCTATTATTATTCTTTCTCAATTTTATCTTGATTTAATATGTATCAAAAGGTTACACTGGTTGTGTTTGTGGTGGGGGGTTGGGAAAGGGGCGACATGATTCTTAGCGTTAAAACAACAGAGTGCTTTGATGTGACGTAATTATGCGATAGACTAGTGACTAGTTTCACGCCACGTGACTACTGACAAACTCAAAGTTTACTATTGCGTGGAATCATGTAACTACAAAGGATTACAACGTGACAAAAAAGCGTAAAATTGTGTGACTGATCACGTGACTAGTCACAGGGCCTATCGCTATATTGTTTGACCAATAAGGAGTCTGCAACCAGTACCCATACGATATGACCAATTTAGGACGTACGAGACCGCGATCTTATTTTACTTGATTGAAGTTCCAGTGTCAAACTTTGGCTTCTAACCTTTTGAAACCGGCACGACATSTTTGTCAACCTGCTTCTGAAATTGTCATTGAAGATGAAATACAAGCAGGGGTTTATGGAGGCGTTGGTCGAAGCAAGCAAGAAGCTCAGYGGTCTGTAATACCATTCAAACGCTTCATAAAGCTTCCCTTTGWACCAGGCTTTTGTCAAATGATAGATGAAAAAGGGAGCCCAACACAGACTAAAWACTGTGACAATTATGACCATCAACTTTATAGCTTTATACGCGATTTTAGTAGCTTGACGCTTGCGGTTTTCGCTGTTGTTACCAATACTTTCCTTCGAGCGCATGCGCAGTCTGTACCCCGTCAAGGTATACAGAAAGGTAGCTATGACCAGCGGTAGTACATAGCACATGACGGTCATCATGGTAACGCCSAGGCTATATGCATCATCGCGATCAGAGTCGTAGCAAAGTGCATCGACATCTGATCTGTACGACTTGAGTTCGTAGCCATTGGCTATYGGTACAGACAAGACTGARCTGACMAACCAGATCGYAACTACGATTGCTTTAACCATTCGTTTGGAATAACGAAACAGAGGTTTACTCACCGCAAAGTAACGATCAATCGCTATAACAACATGGTTRAACGTAGAACAAGCAAACGACGAGTAAAAGAAAAAGAAAGCGAGTTTACAAAGCCAAAGTCCTCGAGTCCCTTCAAGCCACTCGTAACTCTTGAACAAACGCTTCATCATCAGGGGGGTGCATACCATTGTTGATATAATGTCAGAGACCGCCATATTGGCGATGTAAACATTAACGGATGTGTGCATGGAGGGCGTGGTCCTGACCACGTGTATGACCAGCCCATTTCCAATCAGCGACACCATGGCAGTGACCGCAAAGCATGTTGCTAGGGCGTTCTCGAAGACTACCCGTTCTGGATGGGCAAACACATCSTTCTTAGTCGTTTCTAGAGCGAGATACAAATGTAAGCAAATTGATTTGATTAAGATAATTGAAAAATATTGTCATGATCAAAAAGGAGACGCCATTATAAACACATTTRCTTTTTCATGATACCTTTCGGTCTTGCCTTCGATGATGTAATGTTTTTTTTGAATTTTTTGAATCAGGGGCGGGTTGTGCGAAGGATGGATAAAATTTTCACCACACTCCATATCCACTCAGATTTTGTATGGGATTTTTATTGACTGGTTATAGTGGTCGTACAAACCATGTTTGCGTGACAATGACACCCGCAAATCATAAAAGTTTGTATGCTTTTGAATTCTGTCTCAAATTATGGTTTATGAAAAGAAATCATGAAGAATTTTGAGGAAAGCGTCTGAAAGACGCACGTCACAATGATATTGTCAGGTTGACTTCATAAAATACACATTGATCTATGAKAACTTTAATGAAATTCGAAGTCGTTAATTGAGTTACATTACGCTAGAGTCAATACCTGATAGTATAGTTTTATTAAGTTTGACTCTCCAGATGAAATTTGAAGATATTACTCCGGGATATTATTTCTTTGTTTACTTACAGTCGCACATTGCTATTAGGAAAAACAACTGAAAGTCAAAAWTAGGCGACAATTTGATAACAGACTGCAGAAAGCTTTTAGCACTTGTAGTTCCTGGCACAAGTGTCAGAAACTTCTGCGTTTCAGCGTGCGCGAATTGACCACCGCTAAATATTACAGACGATTTTAATCTATTTTTAATGCATCATGATTAATAATTTGACCTTGAAACTCACCGGGAGAAAACAAAGCTCAAAAACTTACTCTAATTGGAAATGCATAAAAGTAGCTCTAATAATTTCATTACTGTACGCCGTATATTTTAGAGTATATTTTAAAATTTTTTGTTGATTATAACATTCACGTAAGAAATAAACCGATAGACAATGGAAAATAGTTTTCAAGAGTTAAGAAGAAACTTAATTCGTCTTACACATGCATTTTTATCSCAATTGTCTCTTTTATATGTTTATTAATCTATCATACCTTGAAAAATCCATATTAATGATAAACAAAACACGAACTAATTCTAGTAATTGTGATAAGTTAATGAAAAAGCAATCATTTTAACATTAGAAAACGAGTTCGAGGCAATAAAATGATTATATGACACTTCCGATAGAGCGTGGAACAGTTGTAGTAGTCCTTAGGGTCAGATGACGGATGTCACCATTTCTTGCCRTTCAAATAATATGTAAGGAATATGCCAGAATGTTTTGGTACTGAATCAAATCATGAAAAGCATTTCAGTACCGGTACTCTTGATTTTTGTTAAATAATACAATAATAGGTGAGATAATGATATAAATCCAGTGGAGCTTAAGATAGAGATGCGTTATGAGTACTTAATCAACGTGAAAAAACTTATAATGACATATTTATTTAGCTTTATTTGCGTTGTTTATGAAGGAGTTCGCGCTTACAGAAAAAGGCGTTTGCATATCACTTGTTTTTCGTAKAAAGATGATTACGTAACTCCTTTTTCTTGTGTGGTGCCAAGCCTTAGAAAGCTATTTTTGAATAAAGAAATGATGGGAGGGAAGACAAGGATAAGCTTAAAGAAAAAATCTGATGATAGAATGAGAGTGGACACGAATAGAAGCTGAGGAAGCAAAATGAAGCCCGGCATACTCCGCGAGGAGGTGACAAGATAAGAATGAAGAGAARATGTAAGCGAAAAAATAGGATGAAAGAAATGAAATGAAACTAAAATGAAAGAGAAAAAAAAGTCTAGAGAAAAAGATTGAATAAAATTGAAGAGGAAATGACACACTTCGAGAAGATAGAAGAATGCGAGAAAAAAAGAAATAAAATTAAACTTACTGTTACTACTCGCGTTGTCATTTTCGTGATCCTTCTTTCCATCATGTGTTGAAGAAAGAAGAGGACAAGATAAACCCAACAGTAAAAAACAAATAACAACTCGCTTTAACCTCATCATGCTCACTTGAAGTGTTCACTGATGATTCTTSTCGCATGCTAGAACTGTGGATATTATGTAATGACAGCGATCATTGAGAATGCAAACATTATGGCTGCGGACTACCTTACAAATGCATGAACGCAATCTCGAGCCCAGAGTCTTCACGGCTAATGTCAGCGGTCTGCACGCATTGACTCCCGCTGGATGGCAAAAGTGCAGGCTCTGGGTACGAGATTTAAGTCACCATTCCAGGTTAGCTCGTTCTCGCTCTGACACAGGCAGCCCGAAATATCAGATCAATCAATGAATGAATAAACATATACCGCATATTACATTGGCGCGCGGAGATACGGATTTTATCTTCGAGTGGTGAAAAGATCTCTAAATAGTGAGCGTATAGCGATGATCTTTCCAAGGGTTAAGTTATTACACGAAAAAAACAAAAAAAAAAACCAAAAAAATAAAAAATAAAACAAAAAACAACAACAGGGAAAAAGCATATTTTTCGATGCAGTTGGGTAAGGGTAAGGCTGTACGCCATGAACGRAAAACTCCATCGCACGTTTAATTAAAAATGAAAACAACACTAACGCGTAATAAACGGCTGGCAAGTAAAGCAATGAGGCCTGATTACTTGAATATAGTATGATATTTTTTATTATCTATGTTTGTTGTTGGAATCGTTTAACCATTTTTTGACTTTTGTTCTTGTTTTTTCTCGGTGGACGGGGGGGTGCCAGGTCAGGGCAGGAAGGGATGTTGATGGTGGGAGTGACTTTGTAGCATTGCTTCTTCGACTGTAAATGTTAGTCTTGTCGATTTTTCTTTCTGCTTCCTGAATTTGAAAAGGATCGATGAATAGATAGGAGAGTTCTAGATTCACGTTTACTGCCACAAACGCCAAACGTCAAATTGGCTTTTACGGCTTTGTGTCATAATTTCAAACAAACGTAAAAACCCTTCGAAAGGATAGTGATGCGCTTATGCACGAAAAAGTTATCTATTTTGTACATAATCGCGAAAGAACGGAGCGTTAATACAGAAAGACAGTGATCACCTGATTAGTTTTAACGTTTGGCGTTCGTCGTAAACCCGTATCTAAAATTCTCTTGTATATAATAACAATCAACAACCCACAACGCAATCAACAACAAATTAACTTTACAGCCATATAAATAGATATAAAAATCATTACTGACATAAAAATCAAAATCATCAAAAAGACAATCCCTTACTTTTAATCTTATTTTTAATTCTTGACATTCTTGAATCGTTCCATGTATTTCCTCATCAAGTTGGGCRAATTTCTTGTTTTCTTTTTGTCTTTCTTGGGATATTYTCTTTTGCTGTGCCAGAACTTTTTTATTCATATTCTGCAATATTAATATTTCAAAGTTATTTCTTCATTTGATAATTTTTTTTCATTTCAATAGTCGTTTTTCATCGTCGTTACTCGTTACCAGGTTTTATCCGTCCCACGTGGAACGCCTGACAAGATTTGCTGTGGCCCTCGCAAGGAAAATGGCGGTAATCTTGAAAAATCAAGCTTTATGTTTTGCTTCGAGACTATTTCTGAAGCTTTATCGAAAGTTAAAACACAGAAACATAAATTGCTAACAAAGACCTCGTTCTTTGAAGACTAGAAGGAGTGTTTATTTTATGATTTGAGTTCCCAGTGAGCTGACAGRGTTGACAAGGTGAGTTCGCATGCATTTCCATCGCTAAAAAGCTATTTTCGTATTGCTTCAAAACACTGCAGGCATTGAGTTCCTCAACTCTGACTTCTTCACAAACATTCTCAACATTTTGTGAAATATGAGCAGACAAATTCTTCAAAAGCATCAGTTTGCAGTGATTGTATGTGTTATATAATGTATAGTGAATTCATGATCATTTGAAGTTGTTCATATGAACTTTTTTAAAAAGATATGTTTACAAGGTTTTGAAATTATAATGAGTAACTCAACTTAAGATCCACTGTCTATCAGCTAGGGTAGTTGATTGAATTTAAGTTCAAAGGCATAAAATTCACAATTCTTATTTGAGCAACTGYGCTTGGGCACTGGCACTTGTAATACTTRTCCTTATTCACACATGAGYACCAGGTCGGACACTTACATACCAGTACAGTACCTAGAATTTTGYTTCTTTGTGTGACCAATTGTTACTGTACCTCTAATTCCTTGTCTTTTGATTCAAGTTGTCTCTCAACTTTTTCAAGTCTCTCTTTTAATACWGAACGCCTGGGCATTTTTCTGTCCATCTCRACCAGTTTTTCATATCGCTCACATTCTTGTCTTAAGAGGAGGATCTCTTTGACTTGTTTCCTTTAAATAGGTGAAATAGTTGTGAGTTAGATAAGGTTTGGTTAATTAGTGTTGTTATGATTTGATTGGTCAATGAATTGATGCATCACTCAATCATGTAATCAGTCAATCAATCAA